ACAAAGAAATCGACTAATTGTAAGTCTAATATGAAGAATATTCTTTTACTGTATGGATTGTCGCTGATTGGTTTCCTTCTGCATATGATGTAATTATGCAAGTTTGCATTGATCTCAAGTTGTAACGAATGAAAGGGAACATACCTTGCTTCATCTAGTTTCTTATCAACCGCGTTTAGACGATAAAAATTTAACGTATAAAGATAAAAATTTTGTCGCGAAATGCATCGACTATTCCGATGGTACTTGCAACAAATGAGCCGGAGCGAATTGGTTTCGCGTTATGAAGAACTTAGCGCCATCTCTGCTAGTAATGCTAATGTATAAGTGATCTGAATATCATAAACTTTTTTCTTATATTTCTAATGTTTTTCTTTTTTTTTATAATGATGACTAACAAACACCAGAACTTTATTCCATATGCCAATATCTTCATGTGTGTAAAAATTGATACGTACAGTCGATTGATTAAGAGCCGATTTTTCCAACCTTTTGGTAAACTAAAGGCCCATTTATAGAAGCCGTAAGGCTAGTGGCACACAGAAAAACTTAAGTAGTAAAACGTAAGCAGTAAGCAAATTGACCAATCACAGTCGTTAATTCTTGGACCGTAAGAAGAATCAACGACTGTGACTTCTTGTCCATAACTTTACTTTCATTCCTAACCTTAAGAAATTGACCAACCACAGTTGATTATTTTTAAAATAATCGACTGTAGTTGGTTAATTTATTTCGGCTTAAAGATTAAAGCAAGGTTATGGACAAAGGTCAATTTACTGTTTACGTTTTACTGTTTAAGTTTTTTGCCACAGCTCTTAGAGCCTCCACACATAAATTTCCGTAGCCGTAACGTAAGATGTACCGTAAGAATTGACCAATTACGATCGAGTATTCATCAAAATGGCGACCTTACGATTAAACAATTCTCAACGTAATTGGTCAATTCTTACGGTATGTCTTACGTTACTGTTATGTCAAGTTGTGTGTGAAGGCCCTAAGAGCCGTGGCACACAGAAAAACTTTCGCAGTAAGACAGAAGCAGTAAGCAAATTAATCAATCACAGTCGTTGGACTGTAAGAAAAATCAGCGACTCTGATTAGTCAATTGCTTACTGCTTACGTCTTACTGCTTAAATTTTTCTGTGTGCCACTAGCCTAAACGTTAACTTATATTGTAATCCATAAGAAATGGACCAATCGCAGTTGACTATTCTTGTAATAACCGACTGTAATTGGTCAATTTCTTATGAATTATAGCATAAGTTAACGGCCTTCATAAATGGGCCTTCACAGTAATCATAAATTTATCTTCGTTTTTCCTTTAAATTAGACGAAGACAAACATATGATTTAACTAGGGCTGCGTTCGCTTTGAGCACTTATGCGCTGTAAGCGTCATTTTATTTTCTTCCCGCATGTAATGAGCGATAAAGAAGCGATATAGAATGACGCTTACAGCGCGTAAGCGCCTAAAGCGAACGCAGCCTAGGTCTGTTCTTTTTACTTGAACTGTTTGCACTAATGCACACTGGTGCAATAAGTTAGAGTGAGACAAATATATTTTGTCTCAGTCTAACTTATTGTACTAGTTTGCACTAGTTCAGGTAGTTCAGCTAAAAAGAGGAAACCTATTGTTAACTTACCAAAAGATTTAAAAAATTAGCTCTCATGGCTCTTGCACACAGGACGCGGTAATGCTTGCCGCGCGGCGGAAGTCCGCCAATCCGACAGCCAATCAATATGCTGCTTTCCATAATAACCTTCTAGCTCTTACGGAAAAACAACATATTGATTGGCTGTCGGATTGGCGGACTTCCGCCGCGCGGCAAATATTACCGCGTCCTGTATGCAGGAGCCATCAGTGTAGCAATATTTTTTATCGATGAGTTTTACAATGTATTCCGTATCCAGTAGGAAAATGTACCTCCTGAGAATTAAAAAACAAATTCTCTTATTGAGTACGGGATGCGTTATGAAATTCATCGAAAACAAGTTTTTATCTTTAATCAGCTGACCGCACAGTTGTAGTTTCGGGTTCTTAGAATAACTTAGTTTTATTTCCGCTAAATGCGGAGATGAAATTCAATTTCATGACACGACATGATACTACATTGAGCGCAGATAAACTTTCATCATGACATATATTAGGACGAGAGAAATGATTTCAACAAACCCAAATTCTGCACTAAATACTGACATCGAGATACACGCGCGCCGTTATTGATCGTCATTGTTTTCATTGCCCGGTGGCAGAGGTCGCCTGATGACCCGTTGACAATTTTTCCTGTAGCAGCGATAAGTCAACTAATACTGCAATATCCTCGGTCAATACAAGAAGAAGAAAAAGACATTTCTTCTTGCTTCCAACCTACGTTACCGACAGTTACCATAAGTGAACTTCGTGATTATCAACAGTTGATTAGTTCACGCAAGTTTCAAAATTCAAAACGATGAAGTAGTAAATAACAAGAGACGCCCAGGATACTATGTGAATTTGCCAGGATTTTCTCTAGCAGATTTTTTAACACTGTGTGTATGTCGCATTATCACAGCTACATTGTTGAGATATAGGAGAGTTTTGGAAAATTCTACTTTAAATGTTCTTTTTTGTTCCACGCGCGTAAGTTATGCGTCTTGTGAAATCGCGAATTCCGTGCAAGTTATGTTAATAAGCAGGCACCATTTACCTACGTAATCCGCTCAATATTCATCGCACGAGCGAGTATTAACTGCTCATCTACAGAACTCGCTGACAATCTATGATTCTACAGGTTGTGCGTGTAGACCTCATTCGCGTTTTGGGATGAAATGTATCAGATAAACGTCTATCTTTGCGCAACGAACGAAAGCCAGCGACAAATGTCAGATGAATCGTACAAGATCAGCTCGGGCATTACGTTTGTACGCGCCGTCGACTGTATAATTAATAATAAATCATCCAACCATACCCTTGAGAGACGAGATTCCCGGACATCCGTCTCTCGCCCTATGATGGCCCCAGATGGCCCTGAACGGAAGGATGCATGTGAAGCGTTTTCTTTGGCGAACGCGCGCGTCTCACCTCCCAGAAGTTAAACAGCGGACTTGAGAAGCACACCTGCACGTGTAATACGTGATTTGGATGTAAATTGTCGTTGAATGGGCGCCGTAAGACGAGCTAGCGGGTCTATGTATATAAACCACTATCGAGCAGACGGCAAGGTTTAGTCGCTCCATCCTTTTGATCGCGAATGTAGACCCCTCGACAGTGTTCCACGAGCGACTAGGAGATATGACACTTTTACGGGGTTACTCCAGGTGAGAAGCATTTCGCCGCTTGTACATATTCTATATCGTTCACGTCGATCATTAACATAATTAATCGTTACGGGTAAAGTTAAAAGAACCGATGCTGCTTGCGTTTTGCATCTTCTACTGCGCAGAACCGAATTCTCTTTCGCGGAATCGATCAAAGATGTATTCAGAGAGCAAGCTGGTAGCACTACCGATCACTGTCGTGACATTACTGACGGTAGCGTTCCACGCCATGACTTCGCGCTATCGTTTTCGAGATGTGCATTGATAACGTTAGCGTTCACAAGCTCCGCGAACAGCGGCAATGATTGTTTGCACTGCGTATGTATTTTTGTCCTCTGCATATTAAGTTATTAAGACTTTTGTTTGATTGTAAATGTCGTTGACTTTTTGATTATGTGGGAATCCAATTACAAGATGCGGAATCATAAAAATTTATAGATTAAATTTCAACCACTCAAAATATGGCGGTTCAAAATAGTGCGCTATTGTTATTCATGGAGTTTGCATTTGTTAGCGCTATTTTGGCACCGTGAATTAGTAGCGTTAATAGTGCGATAGTGAGCTCCTTGAACGCACCCAAGAATGATAATATTAATAAGCGTAAGGGTAATGCGTAAAAAGTATTAATGGCCGTTTCTTGATATTTCGTTATTGGAAGGTATCCTCGCGTCACATCTACCTTATGTTTTAATCACTCACGATCTACACCCAATGAAAATTTTTTTATATATAATTATGTAAAATTATATAAAATTATGTATAATTTTATATTATTATATATAATTATATGCGAAATTTGTCCATACATGTTAATACAGCCCAGCAAACACAGTTATATCAATGTTATATAACTGCAAAATAACTAAGTAATGTTCCAGCAAAGACATGTTTTTTTGTTGAATTCCAACGATTTATTCATTAGTATGGTTCAGTTAAGTGATAATGTATGATTATTTTGTCTAAATAATAAAAACTGACATTTCATATTCCGTATTATTTCAATTATTCGTGAATACTCGCGTGGTTTCAATCCTATGTCAGGCGGCACCCATTTTTAGATCATGTTATTCAATGCTTAACTTCAACGATCATCCGGAAACTAGTGATGCCGATGCGCCGTAACGATATCTCTCTTTTGATAATATTTACAATATACTCTTATATCGTTCAAAAAATGTTATGACATATTTGTTGGTAAATGTTTGACACGACAATCACAATATGATTAATATTGATACAATGTTGTATCAGTAATCAAATTTTAACCTACAACTCGCAAAAGAGAGAGAATATTCTTTCTTTCTCTCTCACAATACTTTGACAGAGTAAAGTTATGATTAGACTCTTTGTAAGAACTCTAGTTTTACAATATCGTGATAACGATCCTTGCATATATTAAAATATCACATTTTATATACGAGAAATACCTAAAGTATAATTTCACATTTATATATAAAAATATTGTACAACTGAAATGTAATGCAAACATTAGACTTCTTATATAACATGTTATATTAAAGTTATGTTGCTGTTATATTGTTGATGTAACTTAAC